GGGAATTTAAAGTTTAAAAAAAAATTATAGCTTAACTCTCTCTGTAGTGCAGAAGTTGCCTGATAATCCCAAGCTTCAGGACTTTTGCTGGTTGCCAGCTGGAGCTAGGGGGGAATATATTTTTCCTTTCCATGAATGCCTGCTGGCCTCTGAGGTTTTTTGGGCCTTTTTTTGCCCTCCTCTTAAGACATAAGAACATTGGCTACAGCTAAGGGTGTATAGGTTTTTGACTGGGGTGTATTGATGTCCTTGCTAGTCTTTAAAAAGGGATAGAGGGCCTTCCGCTTCTGTTCCAGGTGATACTAGCTGCCAAATTTGGGGCTAGGAAAGATTTTTTTTCCCCTAGGATATTCTGAGATGCTCCTACTGTTGTAGCGGCAGGGCACTAGCAGTGCCCTAGTCTTTCCTGCTCTTACCTATAACACAGTAGAGTGTGTTCTTGGTGCTTCCAGCATTGTGTTTTGTGGTTCTGTAGGTCCGGAGTTCGCTCAGTGCCATCTGCACGCAGCCTACTACCTCTATGTCTGTTTGTCTGTGCGGGAGCAGGTTCCTGACCTTCCTTCCACAAGGTGCTCCTGACACAGGATGCAAACTGGTCGAACCGGAGTGATGGGCTCCCCTTGTGGTTCTGTAGGCATGTTTGAAGTGGCATCTTGTGGGGATTCTTTGGGTTAACAACTGCCTGCAAATGCAGGAAACTGGAATTCAATAGCTTGGGATGCTCCTTCCAGTCTTTTGTCCTTACATTAAAGCTTCCCTGTGTAAATAAACGCAAAGACTCTTCTAATCCTTGTGCCTAGTTCAACCAGAGTCCTTTTAAAATTAGCCCCACAGACTTTGGATAAAGTTTTTTTTAAAAGCACCTAAAATAACCTTTAAAATAAAACATGGACTCCTAATTTGGTACATGCTTTAAAAAGTTATACCCATTGCTGCTGAGGCTAGTTAGGACTAACGCTACAGATCTAGGCACATATATTGACCCAAAGTTGCTCAGTGTTCAATTTCCTAATGCTCAATGCTGAATCAAAGATGTAACCTTTGATTTGGGATGTGGACTGCAGTTATGAGTGGGAGACTAAACATTAGTTTTTTTTCGGTCCCTTGATCTTTGTTAAGTTAAGGGATGAAAGGATTGGAAATCCCTGGCTCTGAAGCTGCAAAAGTTTCACTTGTTAAATCTCTAGTGCCTGTGTAAATCAATTGAAAATGTTTCCTTGCAGAATGAGTGCGCTGCAAAAGTGTGAGTGCAGCTTTTGAAGGATAACAGAATGGCTTTAAACCAGCAGATTCTAGTACTGAGAACAATGTATAGACCTCACCCTCGGCTAACTGCCAGAATATTTACCCAGCTTCTCAGAGGGGTTTTGCAGCTGGAGACATGTTCTACACTGCTGCAGCCAAGCTGCTAGTGGTACTGGTGCTAGCTAACAAAAATCTAATTCAGATACGTGTAGACAAAGTGAAGTCGCACCTCAGCTGCAGTGTAAGCATATATACTCTGACTTTCCAAGGGCACTGCTCTGCTTACAGGTCCATGGGTAACTGTCTTGGAACAAAGCACAATTCTCTTGCCTCAGTGAGTACAGAGTGTCAAAAGATCCTACTTGAAAATCTGAGGCACCAAGATGTTCCCATGCTTATATGCTTAGAGATGGGAAGAGGAGCTGCTGGCTAACCCACTGCTCCACTTCATTTACTGGAAGACAGAAAAGGGCAATTCTCTCTCTCTGGAAGAGTATGTAATGGCTGTAGTACACCACAAAATAAGTTTCTTAGCTCCCAACAAGACAAATACTGTACAGGAGAAATGGTTGGATGTTAGGGGAGTGAGAGAAGTGCAGAGGACGGAAGAAAACTACAGATGGAAGAAAAATCTGAATCGGACAAAGTACCCATGCAGTTATTGCTCTTGTCACTTGAACCCTTCTCCACAATTACAAGGCACAATACTTGAAGCACCAAGAACACCCAGAAAAGTCTTGGCTCTTAATATCTAAGAATAATAGTATGTGCATGGATAGGGAGCCCCAGTTACATCTAAGAGCCTGGTGCTTCTAAAACTAAAAGCAATACTCAGTTTTGGTTTGTATCAACAGAAGTTGTGTCTAAGAACAAGAGACCAAAGGCCTGGAGTGTATTAGTACTTTAACATCCCTTGCCTGCATGGGGAATTTTAAATAAGTGCCAGATTGAGCCAAAAAAAATGCTGTAAGTCTTTTCTTTCTAGTGATCAGAATATTCCTGTGAGAATCCCACTGGATCTCCCACCTGCCACCCACTCAGGTTTTTCCTTTAAAATCACTACTCTGAGCAAATCTAAGTATTTGTCATATTAGACCATAAATCACTGCTAGAAGGCAAATGATGGATGAGGCTGTATCTGTGGAGAAGCTGTTCAGTATGATGGTCCATATATAGAGTTTAATTTAGATACTGATTGCTATCTGTTGAGATCTAGACACCCACTACTAGTTTTTTGGAGCATTGCTATTGGATTGTTAAATACTGCCTGAGTGGGCTGTCTCTCTTCCAGCATTATGTTGCAGATAAGTTGTTACTTATAATGATAGGTCAAAATTATGCACTGGGGTTTTTTTGTTAATGGCTGATGGCTGTAAGAGATTCTTTACAAAATAATTTGCTATTATCTCTGTGTTTGAATGGCTTTTGGAAACCAACAGCCAACACATTATACCGTATATGATATCTATCCACCAGCCAACCAACTGTAAGTGCAAAATATTTTGCCCACATCAAGCGGGATTTTATGGTGTTCGTTAGTATCCATTTATTAGTTACCAGAAAATTTTTTGGATGCAAGCAGGCCTCAAAGAGTCCAAAGGCAGGCATACAGGCTGCAGACTAAGCATTTTAAGCTCTAAACTAAATGACTAAGTGGGTAAACTCAAGCCAAGATATCTAACCAACCAACACATTATATTACATGTGAATCCTCTTTGGATATTATATGCAGACTTTATAAGCGTTTATTCAGTGCCTGTAGAGGAAAACATCTATAAATCTGAGTTGTATAGACCTCCTTGGATCTGTATGTTTTCTGGTGCAATTAAGAGATTGTCTTACTCTCAATACCAAGCTCTGATAAAGAGAGAAACAACATCTCTTGTAAATCATAGGCTTTTCTGTTGGGTAGAATTACAAATATCTGTAGCTTAAATCATGCTATCAACATGGTGACTAGTTTCTTGTCATTTTTAAAGTATGCTGCCAATAGCGTGTGTTTATGGAGAAACAAAAAACTTCTCAAATGTTAATAACATGTCTTATGAAACAGGCTGTGTATTTAAAAAAACAAAACAAAAATGAAGGGAAGAGGTGACCTGGTCTGGTGACACTTAAGAAGGTTGGTGATTCCTTTCTTGTTATTTCCTTGAAAAAGCATCCTAACACGATCCTCGTGAGTGAATGTCTGCTCATGCAAAGCTCTGACAAATAGGATTCTGGCTATAATGCTTTGCCAGAATCCCAATGACTGAGATGCTGAATCAGGATCCATATTTTCTTTGGTATATAGGATGCAACCAAGCTTTATAAGCCTCTGCCACGACTGCTTGCATTTAGAGAGTGGTTACAGAAAAATGTTTAACTTTGGCTGAACCTAGCGTGAGGTCATTGGGTGAAGCTGCAGGGAACAGCTGGTTTCTATGCTGGACACACTATTTTGGCTGGCAACTATTAATTCTGACAAGTGAGTAAGATCATGCCAAAAGAAATTAGGCACGTACATGAGACTCGACTCTGCCTATAGAGAGTGGCTGAAAAGCAGCTTCACAACCCAGTAATTCGAGTGCTGTACACGCTAGTGTCCATGGTAATTCTTGTCTGATACTTTATGCTTTCAACACCTAAGGTGGTCACCTCAGAAACAATGCCCTACCAAGACATACAACTTACTTTAGCTGTTGGAAAAAGTGCTGAGATTTCTCTTAGTACAGTCTCCATGAGCCATGCTTCGGGAGACTATGCATCAGCTTTAGCCTGTTACTGCTTTTTGTCCTGGAACATGATCAGTCCTCCATGTCTCCCAGGAAATGCTGGTATAAAGAGGCATCAGACGAACTAGGAACACATCTCCCTGTTCTATACTGTAAGTGCAAAGTCCTGCTGACAAAACTCTTGTCAGTTTTTGCTCAAGAGGCTACAAACAGCAGCAGTGAAACTAGGTTGTTACCTCTTCTTATTAACAGTCAAATCACTGTAGTTAACTTGTATTTTTTTGCAGAATTGAGAAGACAGACCTTGATCAGCTCATGTCTGGAAAGCTGCACCTATAACGTCTTTAAAATATTTGGTTTGCAATAGTCTAATACTTTACACTGCATGCTTGCCTTTGGCCTCTAAGGCCTGCTTACATCAAAAACTTTTTCTAGTAACTAATAAATGGGTACTAATGAACATCATAAAAGTCATGCTTGGCATGAGCAAAATGTTATTGCACTTGCAGGCTGCTATAGGGAATTAAACTTCCAGTTAGGGTCTATTAGTCAATGTTAGGAATGACAACTTCTTGAACTAAAACGATAAAAAACATTATTTTGACAGATTTCTCCAGCTGCGAAGAAGTACTACAGGGACAGTTTTGTCTTTTGAAGTTGCTAGACCTGCTTACAAGCAGCAGCACTGCATCAACACAAGAAACCATTTTCAATTTTTCAGAATGTGCTACTAAACTAACTTTTACAGCTGCAGTTTTAGATGTACCATGGGATGCATCAAATCCAAGGATGCCTTTCCAGGCCCAAACCCTTTCATGGATGAGAAGAGCAGGAAAGGTGATGATGGAGTCACCGGGGAGAAATCATCGCTGATTACAGTAAAACTTGATGAGAGAGGCTCATCAAGTGCCGCAGTGCTAGACTATGCACACAGGCTGTCTCATGAGATTCTTGATCAGGCAGTGAGACAATGGGCAGTGACTGAAAGCAAATACAGTGACATCCCATTCATTGAAAGTGATGTCCCCTGAATTGCAAGGCTTCTCATTTTGATGTCCTGCGAAGCAATTCACAAATAAATTTCCAGTAAAAGCAGATATAATTTAAGAAAAACTACAACTGTATGAATGTTTCTGGAAGGGCAGGGTGCATAGAATGCCTCTTATATTGTTAAGAGATCAAGAGCAACTGAACTGCAGTAGAATATGTTAAATCAAATGTCAGTTGCAATTGGCCATCTGGTGACTGTTCTGGCTGCTTGGTATGTGTGGAGTCTGATTCTAATTTAATGTCAGGAAAGGGGATACACAAAAAACCCAGCTGCCCAGCACCTGCATTATCATGTCCTTGCTGCAGCACCAAAGATCTTCATGGATAAGGTACAAATTGGTCTTGTGCTGCATAAAAACTACTTTTATAATCAGGTAGTCCTTGCATCTGCTGGGTCTTAAGTGAGGACAGAATTGCTTTATAAAAGTAAATCTAATTAAGCTCTGGGGGTTTAGAGCTATTACATAGATAAATTATGAATGACCTTGATCCTTATGGCCTGCCTAAACATGTGAAAAATAACAACTGAACCAAGGCAAGGTGTTACATAACAATGAAAAATAGCAAGAAAACTGCGTGCATTATACTGCCATGAAGTCTGCCCTTCTCAGCACGTCAACAAGAAACGTATTAAAGATGATGATAACCTAATTATCATTTACCATTTGAAATGCCTTGACTTCTGCGAAGTGAGTGAAGGCTGTTCACTAAGTTTATGAATTCAACTGCCTTACTCATGATCATGGCAATTGCTTACAAATGATCATTATCTGTGGACCAGTGTGGGTGGACTATAAACAATACATGTTCTGGACCTTTCATCTCATAATACTATGCTGTATTACAGTGAAATGTCATTCTAGCATGACATTAGTAAAAGACTGTTCCAAATGGTGTGCACTAAAGCCTCTCTCCTGCTAGTAGGAGGTGCTATCATTCTTGTTAGAAAAACTGTGTATGGCCACTTCATACTGTGATGCAGTGACACAGTTAATATGCAAAAAAAGCATGACTGAGCTCAAGGCTGAAGGGTAAAGTCCAGAGATTTTTTTTTCCCCTCATCTAGTTCAGCACTAAAGTATATAGTATATTCAGTTTCAATAGAATCTGTAGTCCAACTTACTCCAGGTAACAGTGAGCCCAGATATTAAGCAAGAAAGAATCCTGAAGGCAGGAACTGACAGAATATCATCTAAAAAGCCAATGGGTCCAACATTTTATCTCACTGTAATTCCATTTAGGACCTTAGTCTTTCTGGACTGTTTCTTCTTCCTCTGGGAGTAAGCGACTAGGCACTGTTACATGAAGCAGTGGTGCTGTTTCTCCTGTTCCACTGTAGCTTAACTCAGTCAAACCATTTCCAGCTTTTTGTTCTGTTTTGAATACAACTGATTAAGCTTATCTGTCCATTACATAAAGGAGAAAAATGGCTGATTGCAAAGATAAGTGATAATGGCAACTTAAGTTCTTTGGTTTGGTTCAGTTCATGCAGGCAAACAACCTATCAGAATTAAATTTCATCATGATGAACGCTTGCAGTTCACACAGCATAAGGCTACCTTGAGACAGAAGTCTCCTATTCATACTGTTAGATCGGCTGATCTTCAGAAAACTCTCTCAAGTATTTGCTGAAAAGGGAAGAGGAGATAAAATAGTGAGTGGTAAATGTAAACCAAACCCACAATAGCAGTGGCATTTTAATTGGCTACAAGGTCTCCCTAAAACTCTGGAGGAGTAGAGTATACTTAGTAATGAAAATCTGAGAGCACCCTGGAAAGAGGCAATTCCAAACGCCGAGATGGACGTCATTGAACAACTCGAATGAATCCACTTTGCTGTGACTTAACTAGTTAATCTAGTCTAAAAAGGGATATTTCTTCCTAAACATCAAAGAACACTTCAAATAATTTGCCCTACAGCATTAAAAGTAAATGGAAACAGTACTGTGGTAAGCTCCCTGCTGTAGAAGTAATTATTTTTAAAAAATGTATAACAACTGGACTGCATGGTCACTGCTCATCAGATAGACAGGGGCCTGCATTCTGAAGGGCAGAAGCAACATTTAAAAAACCCACTTTACCACAATCTGGAATTATCAGCAGTATGGTTTAAGGAACACAGCAGCTGACTGAATGGGCGCTTTCAGATTACAGTTCAAATATGTTTTGGGAACAAGATCACGTTTGTGAGTGTAAATTACAGACTTTAAATTAAGTTAATCTCCCCTTTTCACAGCAAAATAGATAGGCATTAATGTCCGTTTAAACTAGAGATGATGTGTATACGCAACCTGGTTCCAAGCTGTGTTAAACACACATTCTTTCCATTTCCTGCTTGAATAGCTGCCCGACTTGTTACAAAAACACTCCAGCTGATAATATTGCCTTCATTTATAGATCAGTATATACTGGACATTTCATGTCTGCTTCTAGTAATCCCTACAGCAATGAGCAGAGTGGGAGAAAGGGATTCTTTTCATGTTCCTTCTTAGAAGCCACTCTCTAACCCACAAAGGGAGCTCCAGGCACTTGACTGCTCAGCTATTTTACAGGGCTTCTTGGTCAATGAGCTGATCTATAAAAGCAGACACGTCAGGTTTACTCCAAGGCCAAATAGTGTAAAGAGCAAGGTGATGGAAAGGAGTGCACAATAATTACAGCATAAAATCCTTGGGACTTCTTGCAGCTGAACAGCCCTCACTGAGAAAAATGTAATGCTTTGATTCTGCCACCCTCCCAAATAGAGGGAGAAGCAAATGCTCTCCTACATCTTTGGGGAATGCTCTAAACCTACAGGCTCCATTTTGTGAGGGAACTTAGATCCTTACCTCCTGAAGAGAGTTCAGAGTTGCAAAGCATGAATGGAAGAAGGCACTTCCCTGCAAGTGCCAAAGACCATGCTGCACAGGCAGCTCACTGTGCCTGGCAGCTGCATCCTCAGCCTGCTGTTCTGCTCGAAACTGTTCAAGGGAAGCAGTGAAGCCCTTTTGGACGGGCTCATTAGTACTGCTGAGTAACAGGACTACTTGACCTGCCACAGCACCACATAGACATAGCTATGCTGCTTCAGGTTTAGGGAGTAGCCCACACAAAGCAGTGCATTTGAGGGTCCCACATTCAGACATTAAGTTTACCATGTAGCCAAGGCCCAAGTCCCTGGAAGGGCTGGGGTTTGGGCCCCCTATCATACTTTGTGGAGTCAGTGGGACCTCATACTTAGATGCATAGGTTTGTGCGTGCACTGTACAGGGAACCACAGTGATTAACTGGGGATGCAGATTCCATTACCTAGCTAGGCACCTAAAAGACCAGGTGCTGCGATGTTCAGCGTTTTGACATCTAAGTCCTGTAGTGGATCTAGGCCATGGTGCCCAGCACTTACTTGAGCTAAGGCAGCAGATGCTTATCTGAAATCAGACTCTCCATCTCCATCTTTCTAGTAAGGATGCATTTTAGCAGCAGACATGTTCTACATTAGGTAGATGAAACTAACTTGCGGCTGAGTCACAGCACCCACACCACTCACCAAGAACAACATTAAATATGCAAGAAACAAAAAGAGAAAGTTATGTAGCTGTAAGTAAACGGTACATGACAATGAGCTATGGCATACAGCAGTCAGCCTCATGGCTGCCACCTACAGTGTAGACCCTACTAAAATCATCTTGCACTACAAAGTCCTTTCCAGACTGAAATCTCTTAGCTCAGGTGTTCAAACCTTGTCTGCTCCCACTACTGCCTGCCAGTTTACAGCAGCTTTAATACACCCTAGACTGCTAGACCAGCTGTCTAACAGAAGTGACACTTCCTTGGATGGTAACACTTTAGGCAAGCACACAGCAGATGGGAAAACACAATTTCAGGAGCAACAGAGACAGCAGTAAGGAGTATAAGAGCCAGACAACAGGACACTTCTTCCCAAATGCCTCTACCCTTAAAACAGACAATACTACACTATTCTAAATTCTGAAGTATTTCTGGGAAGGATGAAGACAAAAGTCTTTACCAAAATAAAATTACATCTCAACTGAAATAGTTGTCTATTGATTGTAATAAAAACAATACTACAGTTTAAAAATACAGCTGCATCATTGGTTCAAGAATTGAACTTGTTTTGCTTTTCATCTGACATTAGCACATTCTTTCTAAAAATGCATTTCCAGCTCCATTACCTTGTCCCATAGAACAGGATAGGTGACACCTCACTAAATATAGTCTAAATGGATGTTATCTGCCTTGCCTGATACTCTAATGATGGTTCAAGAATGTTCACTACAGCACAACTTTGTAAAAGTGACACTTCAGCAGCCATACAGGACTGAGTCCCCAACTGTAGCACATTACAATATATTTTTACAATATTTTTGTGGGAAAAAAAAAAACTTTCTTTTTAAACTGAATAAAATTAAGTTGCAATTAATTGCTGTAAGGTTTTTATTCAATTAAAATACACAGTGCATTATACTTAACTTCCATATAAACCCTTGCAATTACATTAGCATGCCAGGCACTTGACAAACAGAGAAGGCACAATCCCTGACCCAAGGAACTGATGTTCTTGACTTGGGTTACTAAGCACCCAGAGGAGTATAGGGAGCAAAAATTTTGCTGGAAAAAAAAAAGAAAAGAAGTTCCCTGGATGCTTCCCAGGTTATACTATTTTAAATAGTGCTAAATTTAAAAGAGTAAATTTTTCAAACAGATATTTGTTTTAGAAGCTTAAGTCCTTTTGTCACAAATGACTCATTGGTGTATCAATACTGCTGAGGCTATTTGTTATTAGTATCTAAAATATATGTGGTCACATTAAAAAGCAGCTGGATAAAAATTTTACCAAAGATTCCAGGTCTCTGAAAAGAGGAGCTGAGTTTCCAGTGTTTCTCAGGCTTGCTCTCCTCTACTTTATTTAAATAAAGATATTGTGGTTCAACCAGTGTCTGCTTTATTACCAGTACCTATAAATCCTAGGGCAGAAGGAACACTGAATAATATACTGCATTCTAGTCACTGCTGCACACCACCTTCGAGAGCGTTACAAACACTTCTTCCGTCTTTCCACTCTGTCATTCTATTCTTTTTTTTCCCTTTTGCCAGTGCGAATTACTGAACATGTTTCTATCTGAACAAAAGCTTTCACCCTTTCATCTCATATCCTACTCTTCACTAGTCTGCAGAGAACTCAAAATCCTACATGTGTGACCTCATTGTCTGTTGCCATAGAAACAACTGGAAAGAGCCACTGAAATTTAGCTTTTCAAACTAACTGTAAAAAGCATTCAGTCTTCGTGTTGAACATGCAGTACATAGACCAGTGATCATGTGTGACATACAGAATAGTAGAGATGATAATTTTACATAATAAAGTTGGGATGGTATCAAGGGGATCTCGTTGCACTGTGGAACTTCAGGGCATTATCATCATCACCAGCCTCAGGTGGAGCAGCAGCTTTTCAGACATGTTTGAAGATACGTTCAGCAGCTGGTTTAAAATGCAGGTTCTGTTCTCTCTTCCTGCTCCCCTGTCCATGTTATCAGGGGGGAAAAGGCAAGGATCTGTTTGGGTGATATTTTTTACTGGACCAACTGCATGCTTTGGGTAGACTTAAGCAAGCTTTTGAATGCAATCAATTCTTCTTCAGATCTGAGCTCCAGGTGTTAAAAGCTAACTCAGCATCAACTTTTCACAATATTGACTGCAGTTTTCTAGTCGTTCTTAAATCTAGGGTTCAGAAAAGTGCCCCAGTTCAGCTTCTGTAAATAAATGTACATGCTAACTGCAAGACCAGCTGGACAGCAGCAATATTTTAACATTTTCCTTGGGAGTTTTCAATCACCAAGCTTAGCTTCTTTCCAGTTATATATTTAACTTAAAAGTTACACTACTAACTGCAAGTGCACTGGCCACAGGGGCCAGCTAACAAGCTCATGTAAATAATTGGTTCTTCCTACCATTACTAGTTTTGTACTTATAGTATAGCCCCAAATCATCTCCTCTGCACCCAGCCCAAGGAACAGAGCCAAGTAGTAGAGGGAGCGAGACTTCAAGCAGGGAATTTAGCAGAGCTTGCATGTAGAATATGAACAGACCTATTTTGCAGCTGGAACTTCTTTCTTAAGTACTGGAAGCGATTTCTGGGCTTCAAATACCATATACTGCTCCCTTACCCCCACCCCAGAGATTTCAGGTATCTGAATTCTTCAGTCCCTCTGCTTGGCCTGTTCCAAACTCACAGTACACACAGTATATTTCCTTTTAGTTTCCACAAATCCTGCCCTCAGCTGCTTGTATTAGAATGCCATGGTTACACTGTATGGGGGCTGTCCATACCTATAAAAACGAAACCTGAATTCATCCATGTGATGTCTTTCCACTTTCTGGTTACCTAAACTCCAACCATCTGCTATAGTCTTGGGACCAACCTCATCCCTACACCATTGAAGCCAACAGAGCTTCACCCTCTGACATCAGCAGTGAATTTACGCCTCGGTTCTCATCAGAAAGACATTATTCCACTGGCACCAAAAACCAGGGGGAGTTCACTAAACTGGGAAGTAAAGACAATGCTTTCAAATACAGGTTTACAAAATTACGTAAATAATCTACAGTTTGCTAAAAATGGCAACTACATTTAAAACTGACACAGCCACATAAAATACTTGATGGGGCCTGGCAATTTAATTTGTAAAACTCACTGCCACTCCAGACTACAAGAAAAATCAAATACAGGTTTCCCTTGTGTTATGCTGTACATTACGGCTGCATGAAGCTTTGGTCACTGATTCAATTCAGCAGAGATTCGGCCTGATTCAGTGGCTGAACCTCCAAATCTGAATCAAATCAGGAGACCCTTTAATCTCTCTGAATTGAATCGGAACACTTTGAATCAATTCGGAGAGATTCGACGATTCGCAGGTAGATGCAGCTTTAAATGTTTTTTCTACATACCTCAAGGTACCAGGCAGCTCGTGAATGCTGAAATGCTGGGGCGGATGGAGCATCCCACAGATGCACTGTGGGGTCCCCAGCGTGCTCGGCAGCAGAACCAGAAGTGGACCAGAAGCACTTCCGGTCCACTTCTGGGTGTGCTGTGGAGTACACAGGGAGGCGCCCCACGCCCTCCCAGCTTGGCGACTGGTGCCTCCTGGGTGTGGGGGGGCACCCGGGGTCCCCTTATGGCCAATTGCTGAGCCAGGGAAGTGTGGGGGAGGGGGGCCGCGCACTCGAAGACAGATCCAGAAGTCGACCAGAAGTACTTATGGTCCACTTCTAGGTTTGCCACTGAGCATGCAGGGGACGCCCCTGCACTCCTGTGGGACACTCCATCCACCACAGCATTGCAGCATTCACAAGCTGCGCCTGCTGCCTTGAGGTATGTAGAAAAAACATTTAAAGCTGTGTCTATGGCCGAATCACTGATTCCGTGAATCAGCATCAAATCTTCAGATTCAGCTGAATCAAATTGGGGACAGTGATCCGAATCAACAAATCGAATCACTGTCCCTGATTCGGGATGAATCTGAATTGAATACAGCCCGTTTTGCACACCTCTACTGTACATGTGTTCCTGGAAAATGGTGCATAACTCAAATTTGCATAAAGGGAACCCACTTTACAATGTAACAAATAGGGATACGGTCCAAGACCTCAACTGTACTGACCCCCAGACCCATTTCTTTTACAAGACAATTTTGGTATTCAGCAACGACAGTACACACAAGCAGAGTGGTGGTGAATGTTACCATAATGGGGATGGCAACTACAGAAACACGTGTCGCAGACAATGAATGAGGAGCACAGATCCACACAGAAGACCATATTTTGGTGTGCATCACTTCCACAAAGCAGTGCACAAAGCAGCTAGCTGTGGGCTTTCACCACACCGATCGCATAAGAGTGAATTTACCTTACATATAATGAATTTTTGGTATAAAAAGGGTCGTTGCATAAGAGCAAATTCACACATACAGAATATGCATACAGCAAGGGAAACCTATAATGGGCTATGCACTGACCCAGTGACACAATCAATAGCACAACACCACCTTCCTGTCAACTCAATAACATATTAAAACCATTTTTTCTTTTGCATTACCAAAAAATCCCAAACACCAGGCACTGAATGTGTGTAGAACACTTGCATTTGAAGCTCTCAGAGGACTTTACAAAAGTTAACCATCTTCATTTTATAGAGAAATATCTAAGGCATAGAACCAGTCACTCAGGCTCCTGGCAGCTCCCCAAAAGACTAAGACCTGCATCCAAAAAAATGAACGGTTCTTTCTTATTTAGCAGCAGTAGGCAAAAGACTTTCTTGAAGTCCTTTAATTCCTTGTACAAGGCAGTCATGATTCAGTTTTCACTATGGTAGTGTAGATAAAAGTGAAAACTACAGAGTGCAAAAATTTAAATATGCATCTAAAAGCAGATTGAAGACAAAGATGACACCATACCTCCTCCTCCAAAATCTTTGCACCACTATTCTTTTTTATATCCTAATATTAAATCAGATGAATAAAACTTCCAGAGGTTTCTCCAGCTCCATTATAACTTGAGATCGTTGCTTCCCAGTGACTTAAAGCAACTGTCCAAAACTTCATCTGTTACTTCTTCTAAGGTAGCTGGCTTCCACTTTGGGGCTTGGTCTTTGTCAATCAGCACTATAAAGATGAAATATGACATGAAGCTATCAGTGAACTTTATCAAAATTACTTCAGATGGCATTAACAGTCTACTGTTACAATATTTAGTGCATATCAATCCACTCTCTAGCATATTTATTTTCGGTAAGATTTAATTCCCCCTTCCCCACAATGCTCCCCACCATTCCCCTGAGTGTGACTGTCCTCTGAAATGTACTGTTAACTAATTCACACTTCAGAATTACAAAAGACTAGAGATATACAAACACTCAAAAAATCCCAAGTGTGCTTGCAAACTATGAAGCAGGGTGTGTAATGGTCCAGACAAACTTTAAGCCAGTGGTTTCTGTTAGATCTGCTCTAGCTCAATGCACACAATCCTTTGGTAATGGGATAGAGGTATAGAAACCTATACAGGATATCCATTGTAAAAAAGGGTCCTAGTAAAATCTGGCAAGTGACTAAACAGTTATTCAAATACTTAAGGAATTTAAATATTTCATACTGAGTCACAGATATGCAGAACTGGAAGGGACCTCCAGAGGTCATCTCATCCAATCCCCTGCTCAAGACAGGAACATCCCTGTCTAACCTGAATTTAAACATTTCCAATGATAGAGCTTCTACACCTTCTCTTGGTAATCTGTTCCATTGCTTAGTTATCCTCAATCATTAGACAATTCTAATACCCAAATCTTAATTGCAGATTTCAGACAGTTCCTGGGGTACTGCGGCCCAGCTAGTCATTTCCCAGTTTGCATTTCTGCATTTGATTATTCTGTTTCAAGCACAGTACTTTGCACTTGTCCTTACTGAATTTCATCCAATTAATTTCACATCATTATTTCAATTGATTACGGTCACTTTCAGCCTTGATCCTATCCTTCAGGACATTTGCTACCCCACTCAGCTTGATGTCATCTGCAAATCTACTAAACATGCATGCAAAGCCAACCTCCGAGTCAGTAATGAAAACATTAAAAGGTACTAGATGGAGAGAAGTGGCAGCAGCTGTGGCACAAACACAGCTTCCAGCTCCCTGAGCAGCTCCTCTGCTCAGCCCCAGCATAGGCACAGGCAAAGGCCTGCACCTCCACAAGCCATGGGCTGTACATTACTGACCCCTTGCTCTAGGTGCTAGGAAGCAAATTCTTGGCCAAGTATCTTTCTAGACATCGAGGGTGGACTGACTAATCTGTAATTTCTTGTACTTTCCATGTTCTCTTAAAGGTGAACACTACATTTGCCTTTTTCCTGTCGTTTCGGGTTTTACCTGACTCCAGGAGTTCTCAAAGATAATAGCCACTGGCCCTGCCATTAGCGCAGTCAATTCCTTGGGTACTTTAAGAAGAATTTCATCTGGCTTTGCTGATTCAAAACTATGCAATTTATTTA